GCATGAAGCATGTGATGGCAAATGAGTGGTCAAGAAAGGAATCATTGTCTCGAGTGATTCAATGAACATATCCTAATATTTCTTGGTTGGAATTAACTTACTGAAGTCCTTGGCCAAGGGGACTTTGAAATTATGAAATAAGTTTCATAAGTTTCTGTAATGCTAATGACATAACTTCAAGAATGAATATAAGATCAATAAGAGTAGACACTATACTATTCTCTTATTGTCTCTAGGATATATGATGAGGTAATGAACTACACTGATGGATTGTGCTCTAAAGGTTGCTAAAGAACCTTTTGACTTTCCTAACAATTGGGTGGCCATGATGTATTGTTAGATGCAAATCTTGATCTATGAAATTGATTTAATTAATTTAAATTTAATTAATAAAGATTATAATTCAATTTCATTGCCAACATGTTAGGAACTTAATGGGTCATACGTAATAAGTTGCACTATAGATTAAATTGGGAGTGTGACGATTTATGTTGGACTTAAATCATACACTCGATTTTAATCTCCAAAGGACTTAATTAAAATAATTTAATTAAGTATTGAGTCGATATTATAAATGGTTATAATATTAAGGTCTTAATTGTAATTTACAAAGTTAATTTTACCTAGGCATAAAAGTCATTTTTAACTATTCCTCACATATAGTTTTTTTTTTCAGTTAGACAAAACTGTTGTCAAAAAGTAATAGAGAAAAACCTCTTTAGCTACCACCACTTGAGAGAGAATTCTTTGAGAAGAAATTCTCTCATGGTTCAGCCAAAGAGTGAGTAGGTGAAAAAGGACAAGTTCATTTTGCTAGCACAAAGTGTAGTTGAAAGCTCCTACCTTGGTAAAGGTTTAAGTGCAATTGTGTTTGAGACCATTAGAGGTCAAACTCTTGGGTGGCTTTGGTTCTTCCACTTCTTTGTGGTGTACTATGTTCTTCAAAGTGGTTTTGCCATTGTGATTGCTGCATCACTTTGCTAGGTAATCTTTTCAGACCATTTCCTTGGTGTTTTTGTTGTATTACAACCATAATGGACATTGTGAAACCCCACCTTGATGTAAGAGAATAAATAAGGAAATCCTTAGGTGAGCATTTAGATTTCATGTTTTGAAGATCAAATTTAATTTTAACTTTAAAAAGAATTCATTCTCACCTCCATTAGCTGTTATTGTTGAAGCATAAATTTTTTCTAAGTTTGAAAGGGGTCAAAATATGTTATTTTTATGAAATAATCTTTTAGAAATAAAAAGTGACGATAATCGTTCCCTTGATATTGAGATAACCAAAACTGAATTTTCCATAATTTTGGAGTACGTTTGCTATGGTAAATAAAAGCTGCAAATTTAAATCAAATTTTTCCAATTTTGTTCTTTAAACCAAAATTAGATTTTGATTTTATAGATTTTGATTTTTTTTATATATTTTTATAGAATCCAAACAAGGGTGTGTTTGCTTATTTACGTGAAATATCTTAAGCAAATGGAGAGCAAAAGGAAAAATGTAAAAATGAGGACATTTACTTAAATAGTATTTAATGTAAATAAGTTGGGTAGATTTTATAGGCAATTTGTCTCA